AATGTTATCTATCAAGCCCCTACTACTATCAAAAGAGGGGGAAGGTGAACAATTGCTAATATATCTAGCGGTCTCGAAAGTAGCGGTAAGTGCCGTTCTAGTCCGAGAAGATGAAGGTATGCAATTTTCTATTTATTATGTTAGTAAAATTTTGTCAGGAGCGGAGACTCATTATCCGAACCTCAAAAAGCTGGCCTTAGCTCTCGTAGTCGCCTCCCGAAAGCTTAGGCCTTATTTTCAATGACCCAATAGTCGTTCTCGAGCAATTAACTCCAGTGCTCAAGGCCTTAGCGATTCAATCATCAATATCAATGATCCTCCTCCAAGGTTTTTCTCCTCATATGATAGTTAGTGTATGTCTTTTCAAATACAAGCAATCCCCTTGGTGTTCGAGCTTTGCCTCAAGTCTGTCAACCTCGGCCTGAAGGCCATCCCTCTCGGATCTCGTGGCGACGAGGCTGGAATCGATATCACGGATTGTAGAAAGGTGAAGCCGTTATTGATCCATGATCTTCTTGAATCTCTCCTCCATCCTGGCCTTCTTCTCCTCTGCGGCATTAGCCTCCTCGGTTTTGGAGCTCAAGGTTATCTCCAAATTATTCACATGTCCAACAGAGGCAGACTTACGCTCGGCAGCAGCAAGAACAACATCTTGAAGCTCAGCCCACTTAGCATCTTGAAGTTGTGCATGTAGCTGAGTGGCTTCTTGGCTTTGGGCCATCACTTCCTGCTCACTTTGCTGCAACCGGGCCTCAAGCTCACCCACTTCAGCAGCCTTCGCCTCTAACACCGGGAGACACGCAACAAGTTGATTCCTTTCGGCCAACCGCTGATCCAGTTTGGAGATAAGTCCTTCTTTAGCAAGAATCAATCTCTGAAGGCCCTCGGAAGCAAGGAAGTTGTCCTGCAAAAAGTATATCGAAGTTAGAGACCCCGTTACAACAGATAAGTAAAAAACAAGCAATAAGAGAGATAGTACGATACTGCTGCCGCATTATGCATTGTATTATTCAACATGCATTTCTCTGAAAAGGAGTGTATTTTCTTCTTATCCTTCTCTAAAGCCAGCGACTTCAGGTAGTTGGCAAGTTCCACCGGCTTGGATAGCAGATGGCACCCCTTCGATACCGAGAGAGTGACACTCCTTCTCCCTCGGGGATCTGGAGAAGGGGATGACTAATTATGCCCCCAAATTCTCGTGGTTTGGAGACTGGGAGAAGAAGCACCCTCCTTTCGAGCGTCTATGACCGGTGGAGGAGATGCAGCGGATGCTGGTAGCGAAGGTATAGCTCGTGCATAGGGGCGTGAAGTTGTTGGTGTTGTAGGTTGAGGAGTAGCTGCAACAAGAGCAGTGCTGATTATTGGTTTCTCATCGACCGAAGGCAGAAGAAACCCAGGTTCTGACCTCCCGGGACCAAAAGTAGAAATAGGGGTCGGAAAGCGAGAATCAGCAATCTCTACTATCTCCATTTCACCCCAAAGTGCTCGAACCTCACCTTCGGTTGGGGTTTTAAGCTCTCCCGGTTGAACACTCGGATGAGCTGATGAAAATCTTTGTCTCCTTTGAAGGGAAGACCATTCATCACTAGCTTCCCCGTCAACTTCAATGACCACTGTGGCCACAGCCGGCTCGATTGTGGCCTTCTTTAATTTCTCATTTTTATCCCCAGACGAGGAAGAATGTTACCTTTTTGGTTGCTTGTTCTCTGGCTGGGGACTCCGAGAAGAAGCACCCCCACCAAAAGCAGATCCGAGGGCACCGCTTCGAGCGAGAGCACTTTGTAACAATCTCGCGACCTCCTCGGGATCAGCCAAAACATCAACCTCGGGGCAGGTGACAAAGCCCTACGGGAGTCTTGAATCAAGCAAAAGATATAGTTAGAAAATTTACTTGTGTACATATGGAGGCAGAAGGAAGAAGGACTCAGTTTACCATGGTTCTAGGTCTTCCACCCATATTTAGGGGCCATCTCCTTCCACCGACGGGTTTCTTGCGTTGTAATATCCAAAATCTTCTGAACCCACTGGTCCAGGCCTTGAACCCTTAGTGGTGTCCACCGAGTAGCTGAAATAATAGAGACAAAAAGGTCAACAAAGGCGGGGAACAATCGTTTTACAAAGGAAGAGATGAATAAATTACAAACTTATGTGAACGATTCCATGATTCAGGAAAAGATGGAGTTGTGGCCGGAATGATATCCCTAGTAGAAATGATGACAAACCGCTCCATCCATCCGTGGTCACTATCATCATCCACGCTGGTGAGAAGGTCGTGTTGGACAAGTTTACTAAAATTTATTACTCTCCTAACGAAAGATTTTGGGGAAGTAGAGGTTCATCATGTGTGCCAGGGTTAGGGTTTTCCCAGTCTCCGTGCACAGCTAGTGTAGACAAGCTAACGTTCGCCATATAGAAGGGCCTACTTGCGCCAAACAAACTTCGTACCAATGGCAGAACTCCAAGATGAGGTCGAGACATCCGCTCAAAGAAAAGGGATCCAAGGTGAAGGGTACGTATAGACATATGTAAAACCTTCATTGGTGAAGGTAACCCGCTCTATCAGATCCGGAACAAGGATGTTAAGGTTTGTGTAGTTGCAGTCCTCCTTCACAACAGGAATACTGGAAGGGCGAATGGATGAGGGGTACCTACTAACGGCCAAAGTCTGTGGAGATGCAGAAGGTAACCCGCTCTATCAGATCCGGAGCAAGGATGTTAAGGTTTGGGTAGTTGCAGTCCTCCTTCACAGCAGGAATACTGGAAGGGCGAATGGATGAGGGGTACCTACTAATGGCCAAAGTCCGTGGAGATGCAGAGGGGAGCTTCTCTTAAAAGTCGTTGAGGATACTTAGGTGCCTGGCTATAACGGTGCTCACCGCGGGAGGATCAACATCAACATCTTCTTTCTCTTTAGGCCTGCACCAAAGAGACGACTAGAGTTTTCGAAAGACTCAGTAAAGAAGCCATGGTAGTAAAAATATAGAGAATTTTCTTGAAAAAAGTCGGGAAAAGATGAGAGCAGAAAGAGGTTAAGTGCCAAGAAGATGATGAACTTATGAAAGTTTTGGAAGTGAAAGAGTTATGAGTATAAGTAAAGATACAGACAGCAAAAATCGTGGTCATGATTACCTCGAGAATTGGCGAAAATATTGCTAAATCGTGGGGCAACACGTGTTCGAGGTATTAAATAGACGTGCGTCCTTTCAAGCGTCAGAGACTGTTCAGAAAGTTTTCAGAAGATTTCCCGCCAAGAAAGGGATATTCGCCAACTTCCCGATGACACAAAGATATGCCACTGAAAAGTAAGGAGACTATCTGTATAGGGTAAAATTGGTTTATATTAAATGATCGAATAGTAGCTTGACACGTGGAACCGAAGACAGGTACAAAGTAAATCAAGCAACAACCCGTACCAGAAACAACAACTGCAATTAGCATCGAATAGACCCCGAAGGGAGCGTGATCAACATGAGCAGATCGAATATTTGCCATCAGATAACATTCAATGACGAATATTCCCTGGCATTAAAATAGGCAGTCGTTGCAGAGAATATTTGCATTCGTAGCCTGCCGTTACATATTCATCAATGGCCCCTTTATTGTCATTTAAGAGGGGCTTGATCCTAGGATCTTATTTGCCTAGGTATGACTATAAATAGTAGGTTGAACAACCATTGTAAGACGAGAAATTCTTGGCAAAACTTATGCTATATTTCATTCTCAAGCTCAATAAAATAACTTTATTTGCTATGTGCATTGATATTTCTATCTCAGAAGACATTGCTCTCCGAGCCAAGCTTGTCATTTCCTTTGATTTTAACCGCTAACTCTTATTTTTAATCTTGTTTATTTGTCATTTTTGGATCAAATCTCACTTGTCAATAAACCACGTAATAAATTCAATTGTCCCATTTTACGGATAAACAAGCATAACTCCTAATATCACTAATCCGCACATAACTAATCCGCCATAACTAAATCAAACGACCTCTAAATATATAATAAGCGTGTTGTATATAAACTTTTATTCACTTAATATGGTTAAGTGACTGCGAAGAAAAATAAATAGAGGATTTTTTGTCCCTTCACAATTTCCCGAGGATTTTTTATTGTTTTTCCCCCTTACATTCCAAAACTGCTAGCTTAGTCTGCTCTCTATTAGCTGCTCCTAAATCCTCTGTAGTTCCATAAACAGGTTTAGTTTATTGACAGATCCCCTCATAATAAAATTATAAACGGTGGAATTTATGTGCCAAACATGTTCACGTGGCTTCCAATTCCAAATATCAATAACGTCCATTAAGACTTAAGAGTACCGTCATATGACAATAGAACGACAGATCTTAAGGACTTGGAAAACAAAAGCTGAAAAAGTAAAAAGAAAGATGAGGAAGGAAGAAAGAACCAATAGTAATAAAAAAGCATGTAGTTGTTCTCAAGCAAATAGAAAGTGGACATAGTAAGACCTGCTAGCTCGAGATTGAATAACTCATCCGACATGGTGCTTATGGAAATAGATGACAAATGAAGATATCAAAACGGGTCATTTCGTATTCACATTATGTTTGGTACAAAATAAATAGAGAAAGCATGCACAGCCTATTTGGTCAAGCTTCTTTTTAGTCAAAAGTTTTTTTTTTCAAAGTAAAAATGTTTGACCAAACTTTTACTGGAAAAAAGTGTTTTTGAGAAGCAGAAAAAGTAACTTCACTTTTGAAAAAAATACACTTAGAAGCACTTTTTAAAGGTTTGACCAAACATTAATTGCTGCTCAATACAAATAATTTCTCACCAAAAATACGTTTTTAAATAAGCACTTTTAAGAAAAGTACTTTTCAAAATAAGCTGATTTTAGAAGCTTGGCCAAACATTGCATCACGCCGTACTGTCTCTTGGCAAAACTTTCTACTCCTATATATTAAGCCAAGTGATCCAATATTTCCTGGAATATTAGGAACAAGTACAAAAAAACAAGGGAAATACCAGTCAAACACCATAAGAAAGTCCAACCAACAGGTACAACCAGGAACCCCGATCCCATTTCTCAAGATCACGTGGTGTCAGATCCTACTATGTCTTTGTTATATTTATTTACTATGTTCTACCAAATTTCAGGAAGAATCACACACCAGTGACATACTTCATCAGGAGCATTTCATAAATCCTAACAAAGGATCTTTGAGATAAGGCATTGAAATCTGAATGAGGTCACCACCTTGTTTGAGAAGGGAATCGCACAGCAATGACAAATAAAACATCGCTTCAAGGCAAAAGATATGTACACGGGATATTCACTTCTTCACACCTTTAAGAACTGAAAATTCATCTTGCTACAGAGTACACTAACCTTAATCAGGGCAACTTCATGAGCATCATATGGACACGCACAGCTGGCCAAAGGAATGGCAATACTATATTCTTCCAACTAGAAGGCATCGGACTTTGACACTGCATCATGATTATTACCTTTCCGGTAATGAGCTATTTGGAATTCCAGAATGATTTATAGCTTCATAAGTAGCCAGTTTGAATAATACCCAGTTGCTAGGGCACCTTGACATGTAAAAACAACCAACATAACTTCTAATCTCATGGGCTAGAAAATCGATCCCTAAACACTGAAGTACCGCCTGATGCTGCAGGAGAAGGAGAGGAGGCAACTAAATTTGTTCCAGATAAGGACATTGGGGGAAGATTTGAAGGTTGTCCTTGCTGACCCGGAGGTGCAAACCTTGAAGGACTACCAGTAACTCCAAAAGATCGTGAAGAGAGAGGAACCTGGAAAATAAGCAGCAAGTGAAATGGATGTTTTAACCTGGAGTATTACATACTCTTCAAGTTATGAGATAACCTGGGCACATTAATTTGATCAAGTAACAAGCGCTATTGAAACTTTGAGTTATTGCAGAAGGGAAATAATCACACCAAGCTTACTCTTAGTGAATCAGATTAAAAAACAGTTTATCAACACTTCAGCCAACTGGTGTATGAGAACATTAGGTCGTCTTCTTTTAATCTTTTTTCTTATAGCTATCACCTTTCCTTACCATTTTACCCTAATACACAAAAGTTGACCTCAAATAGGCAACTGATAACAAGTATCAAAATAAACAAAAGAGTCCCAAAATTTTATTTATTGTGGATTATCAGCTTCTACAGTAGTTTCTACTTTCTAGGGTAATCTGCAGGTTTATGTATAAGCCGGAAAAAGAAAGGTCTCTTTGTCAAAAGCAGAAATAAGCAACTTATGTCTAATGTAGCATCAGCAGACTTCCTCATAAAGCAATTCGTCATGAAAAGTATGCCTGATCTTGATCTGGAACTCCATTATTTACAAAGAAAAGGAATTGAGAATTTCGCATCATCCTTTAAGAAAAAAAGGAGGTAATTTGAAGTTGTACAGCACCACTTATAGAACTCCGAAAAGACTATTACTTCGAGGAAACAAATAACATTGTCTTTCCCCTGCATTTATTGTTTCCATCTATGCTGGTCCTCATTACAGACTCTTCCTCTCCCTTTCTTTTGATAATACCAACATACTGAATTACAGTACCGAAACCGAAAATTTTGGTATTTGGTTTAAGTTTATAAATAAAATTTGGTATTAGTTATGGTATTTGTTATTAAAAAATACTTAAATACCGATAGTAAAACACATGTACTTTTTTCGAAAATGCAGGAACAAGGTAGGCTACATATTCTGACTCTTACTCTTCGGGTTGCCAGACAGTTAAACGTAATATTTCTACGGTTTTAAGGTAATTCTTACTCGTGTATTGCAATTGCATATGTTGGATTAGTCCTGGTTGTATTCTCTAAGTTCAGCAAGTAACAAGACATTTTCAATTATCAAATTTATTCGTTTATCTACTTCTTTTCTCTATATGGGTTGATACCTGCTGATATTGGATAAAGATTCTGTGAACAACCAGGTGAGCTTAGAATTTTTGATCTTTGTATTTGTGAGTACTTGAATATTACAGTTTATGGCTCTATGCACTAGTTTATATTCAAGCCGAACAAACCGAAATTACCTAACTGAATAAACCGCAACCGAAAGGAGAAAATCTGAAACATACAAAATTTAATTAGGTATGATATTGGTATAGCATTTCAAGAAACCGAATACTAAAAGTACCAAACGGAAATGTCTAAACACCATACTGTACAAACTGACGAACACCCCAACATGGAAGTCCAAAAAAAGAAAATGTGCTAGCTGAAAACTAAAGCCGTAAAATGCTTTAGATTCGTGCAGACAAGTTACTACTAACAAGCACCCAAGTCATAACAGGGGATAATATTTTGATAAGGAAGTCATAACATGGTTTAAAGAAGCCCCTGCAGAATCCCCTCTTTTCTAACAGGGTTCATAGTACTAGGAAGCAAAAGAAAATAAAAAATAACTTGAGATCTTAATTAGAGTAGTACTATTATTGTGACCAGCCAACTTTGTACCATTTAACAATGAGAAAACAGTGCAGATATCTTTATCAAAAAAGAAAACAGAGCAGATATGTCACCTCTGGAGTCTGAACAGTAATAGCGTCAGCATAGAGGAAGCTATATTACCAAAAGTATGGACAGTTGGAAGTACAAAAGCCGAGCCGACTCACCATTTACATGGGATTAACATAACACAATCACTCAAAGATTGACCATTCCACCAAAAGCAAATCTCACTCGTGACAATCAAAATTTGTTGCGAATCATTCACTTTGATTAAAATGAGTGTTGCAATTCACTCACTTAGGAGTCAGAAAGAGATCTTAAAAACAAAAACTTTCACCCAGGAATAGTTAAGCTAGCAATCCAATGTGGAGCTAGGACATAGCCTACTTCCATTAGAAAAACAGTAACTTTATCCAATAGGACTTAAATGCATGCCTCTGATTTACTAGTTCACAACGTAGATGCTAGAAATTTTGATTGAAAACAGAAACAACCTAGGCCGTAATACTGTGTTCTACTGATAACTTGCACAGATGAATGTTCTTTTCTTGCTATCAGCTTTACTTAAAGTTTTTGGAACATTTGCCAGAAAAATATAATTAGAAACAAAATTAGAACTCTTTTTCCACTCCTGGTGTTAGTGCCACAAAAGAAAGGCCAAAGGTAATAATTCAAGCAGTAGATAGGGCAATTACCACATTGTAGGGGGTCTTCCTGAGTTGAGACTCTGAAGATGGCGATGTACTGCTCATGCGAAGCAAATTCCGAGAAAGCATGTTCTGATTGGAAGCATCATCACCCCCTTCTCCATCCATCTCGCCAATGAGGTTTCCATCCGAGCCCATTCTAGGTGTGTTTAGTCTAGTCATAGATCCACTGTCATTTGTAGTATCCACTTGAAGCGGGAGTGATGACCGAACTGCCATACCTTGCATGCTCCGTCTCTTTAGCTCCTCTTCTGCATTCAGAATCTGCAAAAAAAAAAAAAAGAAGAAGAAAAAACCAATAATCGTGACCAAATAATAATCATGCTAGGTCCATAGACAATTTGACAGATTTTCAGAACAATTAAAATATAGGCCTCATGTAAAAGTTTCCATTTCCCCAGGGATTGTTTTTAACCAAGATCACCTGTTTTAATAATTGTACCAAACCGTGCTTTTTCGTATTCAAAATCTGTAATTTGTCCTCAATCTCCTTCTTTCTTTTCCCTTTATCAGTTGTTGTATCCTCTTTGTTGCTCATCTGCCAAAGAGAGTGATGAAAAAAGTTTAAAAAGCTAATAAATGGAATTCAGTGGAAACAATTTGGAGGTGGTCCTTATTCAAAATTAAGCATCAAATTTATAGTTAACTCTGATCACAAACATAATGTATAATCATATATTTTTTCATATCCAACACCTTCCACCCCGCTCAGTCCCTGTCTGCTAGACCCCCCCCCCCCCCCACACCACACCACATTTGGAGTTGGGACATACTCAGACATAAAGATGAAAAAATTACTATAATCTCCAACGAGCCACGTAAAGAGATCCAGGCTAATTAATTTTGTATTTTTTATAAGAGAATCGACTGCCAAATTACATGTAAAATACAGATAAATGAATGCATAAATCAGAAGTAAGAGAAGAACAAAGATGCCAATGGACTACAAGCAAGGATGCAGACAAAAAGAGAGTCATTAGCAGAACTATTGATCTTTTCTGCCTTTGCACAGTTGATGATGGCTGTTCATTCAAAATGTATATGACATAATTAGCACTGTTCAACACATCATCACTTTATTCAGCTGGCATTTACTCAAAAGGGAAATTTCATTACCATTTCTCCATTTTTTTTTTTTATGAAGTAAATCATATTATTGATGATGGGAAACCACTGTATACCAAGCCACATACCAAAAGGTAGAGAAACGAAACCAAAATATGGTTCTCTACAAAAGATATCCAATCGTCTATACAATAACCTCATGGTGCACCAAAGAGAAACTAGACACGAGATTATTTTTAAATTTTACAACTTCATTCTTAACCCTTCAAATGCTCTCCTATTTCTCTCGTCATGAGATGGTCTACATATCCACCCAAACATCTGCACATGAAGCACCAACTAACATAGGTTATCCTCCTCTTCCTAAAGTTCTCCGCCGTTAGTACTACTGCCTTTGCTGCCAATTCACGCGAAGAAACATGCCATTTTAGGCACGCAGGGGACACAGTAGAAAGGTATGGGAAGTCGACTCCTGCCTCACTAACAAACTCTCGTAATTAGACTTAACTACAAATAAGCCATCCCTACTATATCCCCATCTCCATATATCTGATGTAGCATATGACATTCACCATTTCTCCAATAACCATTAATTTCTTGATGGAGAATTTTGCCAGAATCTAATTAAATTATCCCAATCATCACCCAAATATACCTCCTCACCTCTCATCGGTATATGAAGCTTCAGCTCAAAAATATTAATGTTAAACCTACTACACATATAGCATACACTCTTCCAAATCATCTGCTACATGATAATAAGCAAAAATGGGGAAAAGCTGTGTAAGGTATACACCGACTTCAACCCTGACTTAGCTAGCAGCCCTTTTTAACTAAACAAAAATAAAATGCAGAGGAGCACTTTGTGCAAGAGATAAGCGATTTTTAACTAAAAACCAGCAAAATTACATAGATGATAGCATTACAAACAAATAAAATCAATAATTGCATGTAAATTTCAATACCTCGAATCTAGAGGGATTCACCGGAACCTCCAATTTCTCGCCGTTTTCCAAGACCTCAAGCTTAGGTTCAACCACCACATCAGACGCATCGACTAATTGCTCCGACAATTTCCCATTATCTCCTTGAACCTCCTCTTCCTTCTTGGCCTTTACTGGGACCAAAGAAGGAACCTCGTCGTGAGGATTGGAATTGGACTCAGTTTTAGGGTTAGGGTTGTAGGTGGTGGTGGTGGTGGTAGCAGCAGTGACGGCGTCGGGAGGAGTGGTGGTAGTGAGGAGGCGAGAGAGGGCTCGGGACCGGCGACGGAGGAGAATTCTGAAGTCCTTGAGGGAGATTTTGGGGGTTGGCATAAGCCATCGGCGTGGAGCTTCGGGTACTCTGTGGAGGTTTCCTTTGTACAGCGATAATGCCACCATTTTTGCCCCTCAAAATTTGCTTTCTGTTTTAATTGTTGAAATTTATATGTAACTATCTCAGAGCACATAACTGTTTTTCTTTTTGGTAATCAAAGATTTATTCAACAAAAACTAAGAGTTATTACAACAAGAACTCAGTCTAGGCCACATAGTGCTTAAACTGTCTCTTTTTAAAGCATGAAAAGTAAAGACAGGCGGAACAGCAAAGATTTGCAAAGTACAAAAGGTGTTTAGGCTGCAACCATTTTTAGCTAACAGGTCCGCTACTCCATTAGCCTCTCTAAAGATGTGATTCAGCTGAGGGTCATGTGCCATCCGTAATAGGTACCTGCAATCATCAATTAAGTTTTGGTAGAGACCATTGTTAAATTTTAAGTGGTTTAATAGTTTCAAGCAGAACGTCTCTATTACTAAAGGAAAGAGCTTCTTTGTTATTGCTAGCTTGATTCCATGGAGTAGGGCTAAGATCTCTATGTAGATATTGATAGCGTACTTATAGCCCATATTGAAGCCTAGGATTCAATTCCCTTCATTGTCTCTAGACACACCGCCTATTCCTCCCACTCCTGGGTTTCTCGCACAAGCTCCATCTATATTGAGCTTAAAGAAATTTGAGTCCGGAGGTCCCCATTTTACATAAATGACTTTTTTAATGGGGTTTAAGCGGTTATTTTTTGCCATATAGAGGAATTCAATGGCCTTACTAATGGGTTGGCTTTTGTTGATGGGTGCTATATTCTTTCGGAATAGGGTCCCATTCCTAAAGTTCCATATGTGCCATAGGAGGAAAGGAAGAAAAACCCCCCAACTAAGTAAGTTGTCAAATGGCTCTCTTGACAGGAGTTTTTTCTTTAACCATTCTTGGAGTATGTCTATTCCCTTAGGATTTTGGGCAAAGGGGTGGTTGGTTTTGATTTGGTGCCAGATTTGCCTAGAGTAGTTTCACCGGAAGAAGATATGCTCTATGTTTTCCGTTTCTTTTTTACAAATAGTACAAGTGTCTTCAAGGCAAATCCCTCTTTTTTTTAGCAGCTCCTTCGTGGGTAGCCTATCCCAAAAGATAGTCCAAAGGAAGAATTTCAGTTTATTTGGGGAGTTAATTTTCCAAATCCAGGCTAAGTTTTTGGGGTTGCCTGTGTACTCTGAGACAGCTTCATATGCCGCTTTGATAGAGAAGACATTGTGGTTTGCGGAATCCCAAGTGTAGGAGTCTCCAAAGGAGCCCGTTTGTTTTATGTATGTGCAATTAATTTTTGACACAATGTCCGGGGGTAGTTCGAAGGATAATTCTCTCAAGTCAAAGCTTCCATTTTTAATGAGACATGATAGTTTTTTGTCAGATTCCCCCGCTTGGATAGGGCCTTGAATAGATTCCCTAAGACTTCCTGCTTGGTTAATCCATTTGTCTTGCCAGAGATTTATGGTTTTCCCATCTCCAATTAACCATTTAATGTTATTTTTACAAATTTCATTTCCCTTTTTTATAACTTTCCAGGTATGGGAACCTAAATTCAAGTTCTTCCTATGGTCGTATTTACCGAAGATAATTTTAGTCCATAAGCATTCTTTCTCCTTCCTGTACCTCCACGCTAGTGCTATATTGAAGGAGGAATTTTTCAAATGGGAGTTAGGGATTCCCAGGCCCCCTTGATTTTTTGGCTTTGTAACTATACTCCATCTAACGAGGTGACATTTTTTCTTTTCCTCAGTGCTACCCCATAGGAAATTTCTTTGAATTGAGTCTATCTTGTTGAGAATTGTTTTGGGGAGGTCATAAATTTGCATGACATGATTTGGAATTGCAGCTAGGGTGGCTTTTATGAGGGTTGTCCTACCTGCCAAGCTTAGGAATTTTGTTTTCCAGCCTGTTAATCTATTGTTTAGTTTATCTAGGATACACTGGAAGTCCTTTTTTGTGGGATTAGCGTTCAGCATCGGGAAGCCTAGGTATTTTCCAAAATTATCAGTGTACTTCATTGAAAGACATCTGCTTATGAGGTCCTTTTGGTCAGTAGGGGTATTCTTAGAAAAGACTATTTTAGACTTGTCGAAGTTGATAGATTGGCCCGAAGCGTTGCAAAACTTATTGATAGTGTCTATAATAGAGCTATAGCTTTTTTGGTTGGCTTCAGCTAGAAGAATAAGATCATCAACGAAGAAGAGATGTGACAGTTCCGGACCTTTGGGACTAACTTTTATGGGGGTCCATCGACAGCAGTCTATTTCATGGTCAATTAACCTAGAGAACATTTCCATACAGATGATGAAGATGTATGGGGATAGGGGATCCCCCTGTCTAATATCCCTAGATGGTTCAAAGAAATCCGTTCTAGCTCCATTGATAAGAATAGCAGTTGAGGTGGTGGAGATGCAGGACATAATGAGTTTAATGAGGTCCGGAGGGAAGTTTAGGGAGATTAGGGAGAATCTAACAAAAGACCATTCTATTTTATCAAAAGCCTTTTCCAAGTCTATCTTGATCATCATTTTTGCCTTCTTCCCTTTTGAGTTTTTGAAATGGTGGAGTACCTCATTTATAATAAGTGCATTATCTGCAGCCCTTCTCCCTTTAATGAAACTAGTCTGGGTAGGATGAATGAGCTTCTGCAGGAAGGTTTTAATGCGGTTTACGATAATCTTTGTAACGACTTTATAGGCCGTATTGCAAAGGCTTATGGGTCTATATTGTCTAATTGTTTCAGCAATATCACTTTTAGGGATTAGACAAACTAGTGAATTATTCATACTTGTGAGCATTTTTTTTTCTAAGAAGGAGTCCTGGCAAAATTTTATGAGGAGTTTATTAGTGTCTTTCCAATATTTTTGATAGAAAACCGGGTGTAGTCCATCCGGTCCCGGAGATTTATAAGGTTGAAAAGAGTCTAGAGCCCTCCTAATATCAACTGAAGAGGGGGTGCTACTAAGGAAAAAGTGGTCCTGATCCTTAATAGCGGAGTAGTAAGAGAGATGGGTATTATTAAGAGTAGATTGCTTGAGATCAGTGGAGTAGAGATTTTTGTAGTAATTTGTAATGTGGGCCTTGATGGCTTTTTGTTCTTGGATCCAATTACCTGCTTCATCTCTTAAGCATATTATTCTATTTTTCCTCCTTCTTTGCATGGTAGTGATGTGAAAGAATTTTGTGTTCGCATCACCATCCTGGATCCATTGGATCCTGGATTTGAGCTTCCAAAATTCCTCCTCTTGCCTCAGTATAGTATTATACTCCCGAAGAAGATCATTTTCCAGGTCTATTAGGAATTGGCTATGGGGGTAGTTTTGGGAGTTTTGGATTCCATTTAGTCTAGCTAATATATTACTTTTCTTTTTAAAAATATTTCCAAAGGTAGTCTTATTCCAGTCTAAGGCATTTTGACAAAAATTTTCTACAGCTTTAGTAATATTTGGTTGGTCCGACCAAGAGTTTTCAACTAAAGCTCTGAACGTGGGATGTGACAGCCACATAGTCTCTAACTAAATATATTATTATTGTTAGAGAACTTTTTAAAGAATTCTATCTTGATTGGACAGTGGTCTGAATGGCTCCTAACTAAATGTTTTACATTAGCATCTGGGAATAGCTCTATCCAATCAGTGTTTGCAATACACCTGTCAAGTCTTTCCATGATAACATTTTTACAGTTTTTGCTCTTATTAGTCCAAGTAAATCTAGACCCTTTGCACCCTAGGTCTACAAGTCCGCAGTTATTCAAACAGTCCAGAAACTTTGAAATTCTGTTATAATTAATAGGGAGACCATCTAGTTTTTCCGTGGCACAAGTAACTTCATTAAAATCTCCCGCTACTAACCATGGGCCCTTAAAGTTTTTAGCGATTATTTCTAAGTTTTCCCAGAGAATTAATCGTTCTTTCAAAAGATTACTAGCATAGATAATAGAGCATAGCCATTTTTTTGAAGATTTTTGTACCTCTACCATGGCGTGTATCTCTTGATCCGTACCACCAATTTGATCCACCATCGTGTCTCCATTGTTCCACANAGGTACTCTTTCAGTTTGCAGTAGAGATGCTTCAGTTCTATTTGATCCGGGGTCTACTTACTCCTATGTGTCATCTTATCTTGCTTCATATTTGGTTGTGCCTCGAGATTCTTTTATTGCCCCTGTATATGTGTCCACACATGTAGGGGATGCTATTGTTATGATAATCTAGCATTTCTCTAAATGCCCTTCTAAAATCAGCACTGTGTGCTCCACGACAGTTCCAAATAATCATATTCATGCTAATATTTCTAGTTGGTACACCCCCATCCTGGCTACTTGAGGAGTTGTTGTTGTTCCTCATCATTTCCTGTTGTGTCCAATAGTGAGTAAACATTGTTGGTACTAACACCACTGCATGTTGGTAGATGCTCGGTGGGTCCACCTTCCTTATAAAGATGTAGCATTTCCTCAAATCCATTGGGCAACTTAAGATGAATCTTTTTTCTCTTCTTGCTTGGAACGCCATTGTTTTTGGGTATCTTAACACTCCGTGTTCCACTATTCTTTCTGTTGGAATTCCTTCCTCTTCTTCCTCCTCTTCCATCACATTTTGATTCTGATTCAAAGGGGTCGTGGGTACTGTTTGGGTTTGGTTCCGTTCTTGGTGAGTTGAGGGAGGAATTGCATTGTGAGTTTGGTTCGAACGTTGGGGTGTTATCCTGGCCAGGGAGGACGTGTGAGGATTGGTGTTGGGTTGAGATGGCTGCTGGTTTTGGGCAGGAAAGAAGTTGGGAGTTGGGGCTTGAAGGTTTGCATGGGTAGGATACAGTGGGAGGTTTGGGTTCTGCATGGGGGGAAAAAGGTTCTGGTAACCTGCATGGGGGCTCCAAGGGGACGGGTAAGGGCCCAAATTCACGTGCATGGGTTGCTGGAAGCTCATCCATGGGCGTAGCATCACATTGCTCATTCCTAGTTGCATTCTTTCCGTCACAATTTATGCCAAGTATGAGGGGTCTCCTATTTGAATTATGAGGTCCCTCCCTTCTAGTTGGAGATTGATGTTGAGTGCATGTCCCATTAGGCCCCATTCCAACCAAGATTGGGGAGCATAACTTGGTTGTAATGGCCTGGTGGTGAATATCA